AAAAATCATGAATACCAGAAAGGCATTGTAATATAGGATCAATCTTTGGAATATAGATCTATCATTATATTCTGATTCAAATATAAAAGAAAGGAAGTGCAATTTAAAGAAATCAACGTACAAGATTGCATTTTCTTTGATAATATGTGTTTAGGTATGCTCATATATCTAATTATTAATATCAAATTCAATATTCTGCTTATTAATTGAGTTGCAACAAGGTTATGAACGATATTAATATCAAATAATTCAAACAAAATTTATTAATAATATTATCTTTAATAAGATCATATAGAAATTCTGAATTTTTGAAAAAATGATTATAATATTTATTAATTATATATATATAATGAAATTACTAAGATTAAAATTTTATATATCCTTATTTAAGAGATATAATTCATTTTTTTTTTAATTTCAGTATTTTTCTTATTAATCATTGTATTCATAACAAAAATTTTGTTTCAAAAAAGAGCTTATCTTTGTAGGATTCTTAATTTTCTTAGCTTATTGTTGGATTTAAATAAAAAATCATATATTTATTACTGAGACTTTATGCAAAATTAGTATATTTTGATACTATATATAATCCATTTACAATTTCTTACTAAATTTACTATTACAGTCAATTAATAACATTTCATTCTAAATAAAATATAAATTTTATATTAATAAATAAGAAATAATATTACTTTATCAGCTAATCAAACAATACTACATAAATTTAAGTATTTGATTAATTAAACATTATAGATCAAAAGTATTACCGAGATTAAGTATCTTAATATCTATATCTTAAGTATTTTATGTTATTTGATAAACAAATAAATCAATTATTATATTCGAATTTTCCAAATTGATTGTAAATCAAAAGATTTCCAAAAGATACTTTAGCTAATTAAAGTGTTATCGACGCATTTATTTACAATTTTTTAAACTGAGGTGATTTAATATGAATTGGGTATAAAGGTTAGGAAGTCTAAAATGGTTTCAAATTCGTGGGTAGTATTAGTTATAGATAGAAGGATGAACTTAACATGATAATGCTTATCTATGTACTTCATCATATCAAGCTGTTAAAATGGATAAAAGAGAGGAAGTAATTTAGTGAGTACTTCGATATAACATTTTTAACTATAACAAATTCAAAAAAGGCAAATCTTTAAGATTTCACCAGATAAAAGAAGTTTGAAGAAAATTTGATTTA